TTAATTCTGGCAATATCATGTTTTGGTGGGATAACTGGACACATAAAGGTTCTCTTTATCAATTGGTTAATCCTACTCCGAAGCCCGATAATGTTAATATTAATAATTTCATTATTAATCAGCAATAAGAGTTGGGTGATATCAATGATTTGGTTCCATTGAATACTTTGAGCTTGTTCAATAGTATTCCTATTGGCAATGAGGATAAGGCCATATGGAAATTGAGTATGAGTGGTTTATTCACTTGTTCCACTGCCTTTGAAATTCTTAGAAGTCAAAATGTTGCTCCTCCAATTTTTAACTATATCTGGATGAATGAAATTCCTTTCAAGATCTCTTTTTCTTATGTGGAAGCTTTTGAAAAAGAATCTTCCTCTAGATGCTTCTCTATCCAAATTTAATATTCATAAAGGTCTTTGTTGCATGTCAAGAAACAACTGGCCATGTTTTTGCAGGAAGTGAAATGGCCAAACATACGTGGAACATCATCTCAAGGCCATTGGAACTTAACATACAGTAAATGTTATCATCTGGCAGTGGTGGAGACAGCAACCAAAGAATATCATCCATAAATTTCTATTTCGAGTCACTCCGATGATAGTGTGCTGGAAAATTTGGAAAGCAAGGTGCATTCAAAAATATGAGAATAGAAAAGTTTATGTTTCTAATATATGTTTTCAATCTTTGTTTCAGATTAAGGTGGCCTTGGGGAAAAAATTCAATTTTATAGATTACAACTGGAATTGGAGCAGAGTTTGTCTTATGGCTGAGAACTTCAAAACAATGATAGATCAAATGGATTAAGTCATCAGGAACAACCTGGAAGCTTACTACTGATGGAAGCTACATCAAAAATCAAGAGAAGGCTGGAGTTGGAGGCATTCTTAGAAACAAAATGGGAAGAATGATTATGGCCTTCTCATATCCTACTCAATTTTGCACTAAAAATTATAGTGAAGCTCAAGCTGCATTAATTTGTATTTATTGGTGCTCTAATCAACATTTTGAGGCTTTAGAAGTTGAGTTGGATTCCACGATAGTGGTTCAAATGATCAATGGAATTTGTAAGCCTCATTGGAGAGTTCTAGGTATTATTGATGATGTAACTCTTAATTAATCACTAAAATATAATCGTTAAACATTGTTATAGAGAGGCAAATGAAGTGGCAGATGCTCTAGCAAAATATGTAAACTCAAATTCAAGACCCGAAGATTTTTTTTGCAAGAAGTGGATCTTCCAGAAGTGAATAAAGGTTTTCTTAGGATGAATAAATTAGATTTTCCAACCTTTCTAAGAAGAGCCAAGAAGATTAATACCTGGCAATTTGATCCACCTTGAATACTTTTATTTATATGCATTAACAATTATAGTTTAAATGCATTAATATAGTTGTTTTGTTTTGTTAAGATCTCTGGATCAGAATCTTAACAGGATAGGATTTGTCTTGTCCTAAGATGTAAAAGGAGGTTAGGCTTTATGTCCCCCTCCACTTGGTTGTTAATATCATTAAGTTCGGTTTTAAAAAAAAAGCAAGTCATTAACTCCTCTCAAATTAACTGCATCTTGTGTTCACTTGTTTCAGCTTCTACCTGAAAAATGATTTCAGTTAATAATTGCCAGGAACAACTTAACTTTTTTAATATAAATTTTTTCTCTTGTTATATATAGAAAGGCCAAAGTTGAGAAAATAAATACATGGCATGTCGTTCCTTTCTTTATGTCTCATAAAAGGCATCAACGTGTGTTTGGAACACATAATGAGAGGAGGGAATGTTAAAGAATGACAAAAGTCTCACATTGATAGTTAATGAGATGAGTGACTCCTTATGAGGTTTGAGCAATCCTCCTCCCTTTGAGCTAGCTTTTGAACTGTGAGTTAAGACTAAGATCTAATTGAACATAGTATCAGAGTATGTAGAGGTTCTGAGATCAAATCTTACCATCACCCAAATCAAAAAGAATTTTCCCGTGCTTGGCCCATGAAAAAAATCAGACCCGCACATGAGGGGGCGTGTTGAAAATATTAATAAATAATAAAAAGTGTGCTCTCTTCACGGGGCGTGTTGAGAATATTAATAAATATTAAAAAGTGTGCTCTCAGATGAGATGGTCACACACTTCAAAAAAAAAAAAATTAAGACCGCACTTGAGGAGGCGTGTTGAGAATATTAATAAATAATAAAAAGTGTGCCCTCTAACTAAGCTTTTATATGAGATGACCATTTTGAAAAATGTAAGGAATTCTTTCGCTGTTGTTGATAAAGAAAAAGAGGTTAGTTTTTTACCATTTGCTAATAAAGTAAAAGAAAAAGTGTGATGAAATAGAAGAGATTGAAACTTATGATTTGAAATTTTGATTTTGAAATGTTTGGGTGTTGTCAATTCTTCTTCAAAATTATTAAGTGAAGCTAAATCCTGAATTTGAGCTCATTTGAAGTTGAATTGATACAATTTCGTTCGAAAACATTAATATTGAAACTTGCTTAACAATTGAGCACAAAAATTTGAATTTACTATAACAAATAAAAGATTTTATTGCAATTATATATACATATTCGCAATAATATAATTGTCATTACATTATATTTAATTTATTAGCGACAATAATATATACAATGTCATTATATATTATAATGTCAATAATATATGCAATGAACAAGTTAATTTGTCTATCACCCTTAATCTTCTCCGATTCCAAGAAGAGAGAAAAAAAGAAAAGAAAAGAGAAGATATCAATAAACAGAGAAAATTAAAGCTATGACTGTTAATACTTATTCTATTCTAATTTACGTGACACATTTTGAATTTCGAGATTCAAATAAGTTTATCTTTGACCGTAATTTTCATCTATCTATTAAATATTTTGAATTATCAATTATTGTGACTTATAATATTTTTTACGTAGTGTACAATATATACATTTCATTTTTAAAAAATTTGAAGATTTCATGATCAAACTTTCGATCAAACTTAAATTGTTTGTCTATCGAAAAATGAAATATATCAGATAAATTGGGACAAAGGAGTATTAACTTATCCTCCTAACAGTTACATCACGTTTGCAGAAAGAAGACGTGAAAAAAAGATTATTGCATATTTCCTGCATGCATGCACGTATCCTTGTGTTTTAGGATTCCATGTTTCACATTCACTTTTTTAATTGCACTATTCAAATCCCAGCATCAAACTTTTGAAATTTGATTCTAAATTTGGACATAATTTTTTTAAAATTTTAAATGAAATTTACATATAACTGGAAACTAGGTAAAAACTAAAAAGTATTATAATTCATAATAATTATCAATTCAATAGTTAAACGGTAGATGAAAAAATAGCAGTCATCAAATAAAAGAAAAACTTATTTGATTTTCGAAATTTGAAAGATGTCATGTAAATTAAGACGGATGGAGTACATAAATGTTGTGAATTTGTTGTGTGACTTGACTATTTCAAAGTCGCCTACGGAGTTAGGACAATCGCCATCTGCAGATATATCTATACTATCTTAAAGTCCACTTGTGTTTGGGTTATGGGTTTTCAACAAGCATGTTATAATTGCTTCTAATTTGTAAATACTTCAACATGTGTTTAATTCAATGCATATTATTAACCTTGTGTGATCTTTCTTAAACTCAACTATAGCTCCCAAATACCTAGCTAGTAACCTATAATTCCCTATAGACTCGCCCTAAATAATCCATATGAGTACCACAAATTCAATAAGCTAGTTCCTTATCCATAAAAAATGTATATAGTCAACTTAGGATAAAAATATTCGAACTTGAAATAGCACCTATATCTACCTAATCAATTTTTGAGTTAGTTCCCAATTCATTTGCAAGCATTTGGCTATCTGGATGTGTCGATATCAATGGTGATTCATTATTTAGAATTATATTAATTTCATGCATAAGTAATGTTATTTTGCCAAATATTGGACATTAGTAAATTGGACAAGTTTTAATTTTGGAGTAAATGGGAAGAGGAAGGTATGCAAAACGTTATTTTTCAATGTTTATAACACAACTAGCTAGGGTGCCAACCATTGCCTAGTCCATGTGATTGCATATTGTATCTGAAGTCTCATTTTTCCAAATCCCCAACATGACCAAATATGAATGAAAATTAACCAAACCTTCACTGAAATCTAAAATTAATTAGCAACAACTTGAATTCACTCACCCTATAAATATCCCTCTAAACTACTTCAATTCCTCATCACCTCCATTTATTATAATTTGATAAGTCTTTTGAACCCTTCAAAAAGCTTTGTACTTACCAATTTCACCTTAGCAAAATGAGTCCCTTAGCAATTTTCTTCCTCTTCTTATTCAACTCATCATTAGCAGCTAATACCAATATTTACAATGTCCAAAATTATGGAGCAAAATCCGATGGAAAAACGGATTCATCAAAAGCCTTTTTGAGTGCATGGTCAGCAGCCTGTGCTTCTAATACACCTGCCACTATTAATGTGCCAATTGGAAAATATTTAATTCACAATGCAAACTTCAATGGACAAACATGCAAGAGCAAGCCTATTACTATACGCATTGATGGGACTCTCTTAGCTCCCTCTGATTATAATGTCATTGGCAATGACGAAAATTGGATAAAATTTGAAAAAGTCAATGGCATTTCCATCTATGGTGGAACCTTTGATGGTCAAGGTGCTGCTCTTTGGGCTTGCAAGAAATCCAACAGCAAGAATTGCCCTGATGGGACTACGGTTCGTTCCATAAAAAATATTTTTCGGTGTTTGAGATGATGAATAAAAACTACATTCCAAAAACAACATGCATACCCACAACACTTTCCTTTTTGTTTTATGTCAAGCAAGCACAACTATCTCTTTTTAATTTTACCTTAAATTTTGATGCAGGCATTGACTTTTTATAACTCAAACAACATTATAATGAGTGGAGTAACCGTTCAAAATAGTCAAAAGTTTCAAATATTAGTAGACGGATGTCATAATGTGAAGCTACAAGGAATGAAGGTATTAGCTCAAGGAAATAGTCCCAACACTGATGGAATTCATGTAAAATTATCATCAGGAGTTAGTATTATGAAATCACAAATTGGTACTGGAGATGATTGTATCTCTATTGGGCCTGGAACTTCTAACTTATGGATTGAAGGCATTGCATGTGGCCCTGGCCATGGAATAAGGTTTGGAACATCAAATTTATATTTATTAAAACAAGATCACTTTAATTTCTTTCATTTTTATTGATTTATCTTTTCAACTAAAATGTATGTCGAAAACTTGATGTTGTTGCAGCATTGGAAGCTTAGGCTGGAAACAACAAGAGTTAGGAGTCCAAAATGTGACAGTAAAAACTGTGACTTTCAGTGGAACAACAAATGGTGTGAGAGTGAAAACTTGGGCAAGGCCTAGCAGTGGCTTTGTTAGAAACATTCTCTTTCAACATATTGTTATGGTTAATGTTAAAAACCCAATCCTCATAGATCAAAATTACTGCCCTAATCATGAAAGTTGTCCTCATCAGGTATTGATCATTAAACAAGTTACTTTTTTTTATTAGAATAATGATAACATTAGTTCATGTTCCCTAACCTTAATCTAATTGTATTGTTCGTTTTCCTTTTTAGGGCTCGGGTATAAAGATAAGTGATGTAACATATCAAGACATACGTGGAACATCGGCTACAAAGATTGCAGTAAAACTTGATTGTAGCATAACTAATCCATGTAGCGGCATTGCACTTGAAGATCTGAATCTTAGTTATCAAAATCAGCAGACTGAAGCTTCATGTGTTAATGCCAGAGGAAGAGTTTCTGGTTTACAAAAACCTAACAATTGCCTATTGAAAAATTAGATAAATTAAATTTGTTAGTATACTATCTCAAGATAAATTATAAAGAATATTTGATTGTAATGCTAAAAATTCAATATGTACCTCTTGTTTCAATTAATGTTAAATGAATATCACATTCATATATTTATGAAAAAGCTACCTAATTTGCCAGCTCAGAGTTACAAAATTGGACAATTACTACAATTAACCCAAATTTGGCCATAAACTCCATTTTTCTTATCGATCATCTAGGGAGGAACTCCTTTGTAAATATGATTCTCTTTTCTATTTATTTGTCCTCTCAAATTAACCGCATTTTTTGTTCACTTGTTTCAGCCTCTTGTCACGCCCCAGACCGTCGTGATTGGCACCCACACTAACCCCCCGGTAGGAGAACCACTACTACAATCCAAACTAAACAACTTAACCAAATACTACGCATTTAAAGATACAGAAGCAAGTTTAAATGCATAACAAAATAAGGAGTTCCCATAATCTCCGAAAATTTAGCAACGACTATCAAAACATTGCGGAAAACAACCCCTAGAACCTGAAAGTTAATGTACCAAAACTCTAACAATTCACAAGTCTAAGGAATACAGATACCATCCCGAAAGCTAAAGCATACCAATATCTAAAGAACTAGTCTAAGTCCGAGAGAATGGACTAAACAAAAGAGAACTCATGACTGCCTGGAAGAACTGGCTCACCCTTGAATTCGATCTTGATCACTGATCTCCTAAATGAGGTCTGGCAGTAGCCGCCAGAAGATGCCCTGTACTCAACAAAGAAAGAGCAAGTGCAGTATCAGTACACAACCACAGTGTATTGGTAGGATCACGCGACTATCCCATAAGCGAAATATATATAAGCAATCACAACAAAGTAAACATGACATGTACTGAATATAAACACAATTATCATTTCAAGAGCAATGTACAAATCCACATTCTTAATAACAAGTAAATATGACAATTCAATGATCCTCTCATGGAACCCATACCCAAACTGTTAGTATACTGAAACGTGATACCTGATCCCAATTAGTGTGTCAGAACGTGGCACCCGATCCATTCAACACAACCACTATCACAATCACACTCACACTCACACTCACATGTACATTCTCATAATCATACAATCAAGTGTTGAATCATGACATATATTTATTCATTCACACTCATTTCATTAGGTTTGACCAACAATGCTTCATTCACATACATACATGCATTACAATGAAGTAATCACCAACATATATCACGGAAACAAGAAATCAAACCATCACCTACCTCAAAACCAAGCTTGAATCCTCCTAAGATACTTGAATCTTCCCTTTCCGGATTTTTTTCGCTTGTTCTAGGTCTACAAACAATCAATATAATGCAAGGATCAATAATTAAGGTCTAATTTACCCGGATTATAACAAACCCAATAACCCAAGACCAAACCCATGATCCTATGGTGCAGCTAGAGCTTTTTCCCACCTCTAACTTCAGGCCAAAACCCTCCCCCAATAATAATTAACCAAGAATCTAGGTTCTACAGATCGAAACACGGATTAGGGGAGTAAAATCCTTACCTTTAATACCAAAAGTCGTGGAAAACTAGCAAGAAATCACCTGGGGTCATCTTTTAGCTCTCAAGAATGAAACTTGCAGAAAATAACAAAATTGGGGGTTTTTACCCTACTTAATTTGCGACTGGGCTGCTACGGTGGACCCCATCCCGCCACAGCGGCCTCGCCCTAGTGAGATAAATCCCCCCTGGTGGCTTGCGCGGAGACAAAACATCAGAATTTGAGTCTCAAACCCCCATTTCACAACACATCTTCAACCCTTGACTTTCAAAAACTACCCGTTCACGCTAAGATCAGTTTCGGGAGTTTTACTCGCCCGAATTCGATTATGCAAAATCGTACAGGTTCCTTAACGCCTTGGCTATCTACTCATGTAATCACATCCATTATTAAATCTCTCATTCATTATCAGATTTCCCTAGACCTAGAATGACTCAGATTACGTCCAAATCTGAACTAGGCTAGGAATTTTGAAGTTACTACCAAAAAGTTTCCGGCCCAAATTCTTTCCCCAATGGCTTTCCTATAACGACGGGAACATGTTGTTACACCTCTACTTAAAAATGATTTCAATAAATAATTGCTACGAACAACTTCAACTTTTTAAATATAATTATTTTTTCTTGTTACAAAAAGACCAAACTTAAGAAAATAAATATATAAAGGCATCAACCTGTGTTTGAAACATATAATGAGAAAGGACAAAACTACAAATTTTGAAAAATGTTAGGATTTTTTTTGTTGTTGATAAAAAAAAAAGGTTAGTTTTTTACCATTTCCAAAAGTTAAAGAAAAAGTGTGATGAAAGACGATGAAATAGAAGAGATAGAAACTTATGATTTTTGAGTTTGAGTGTTGTCAATTCTTCTTCAAAATTATTCAGTGAAGCTAAATCCTGAGTTTGAGGAAGTAGGGGGTCTATCAGTCAGTTCGGTGCGGTTTTGTTATCGATTTGGTTGATTAGTTTTTCGTTTTTAAATATGTTAAATCAATAACCAGATCAACAAGATATTTTTTATCGGTTTTTGTCCTTAACGGTTCGGTTTTCGGTTTAGCTAATAAGAAAATGCTTATCAAACAAAAATATGATTTCTCTAATAAATTTGATGTGACAAGATAATATTGTAATTTTACAAATGCTCATAAAATTAAAACAATAATAACAAACATGAAAAGAACTATACATGTATAAGAAATGAAGAGGAATAGGGTTCTTACTTTAGGTTTTGACGGTTTGTATAATGTGAAGTTATGAAAGTCACAGTGAAGTACGTTCTGCAGGCTAAATGATAGATGTTATGCCGTAATTTTACTAACCTTTAGAAAAATCACTTTTAAAATGTTCCAAGTATAAAACAATTTGAGAAAAATACTTAGAAAAGAGTCACCACTTAATTTTTTAAAGAAATTAAGAAAACTTAATTTAAAAAGATTTTAACAGATTAAATCTTTATAAATATAGAGAAAATAGGTAAGAGGTTCTTATTTACGCTTCAAGAAGGTTTTTAAGGCATTTGAAGTGCCCGCTAACATGCGTTTATCCTACTACTTGGTTAATATATTTTTGACTATTTTTTAGGAAAATGATTTAACATAAAATATATAATAATTTACAATATTCGATTAACTTTGATAAAATAGTTAAATAAAGAACAATTTTTAATTTTTAAGAAAATGAGACCTTAATTGAAACAACTTGGTCAATTAGGATTTTAACAAAATAGATTAATTAGAATTTATGTACATCATTTTTAGAAATAATAATTCCAACCAACTTGGTAGATAAACCAAGAAAACATTTTAATCTAATTAAAGATAACTGAAAGTTTTGACTAAAAATATTTGAATAAGTATAAGAGTTGATAAAAATGAATTATATTAAAATAAACTAACATAAAGAATATGGTTCATCTTTTGGGGAATTTAATTAAATTAAATCGAAACAACTAAAAGGTTAGAGAGTTAATGCAAATAAATAAAGTATAAATTATAGGAACCACATATTATAAGTACTAAATAACATCCTATCCCTTATAGTTTTCTATTTACCAAAAATCCCTTAAAAATGATGTTTGCGGGATGCATAGCGTTGTGCACGGGATACATTAGGTTTGATACATTCCACATAGCGGGATACATTAGGTTTGATACATTCCACATAGCGGGATACATAGCGTTGTGCACGGGATACATAGCGTTTGATACATTTCACATAGCGGGATACATAGCGTTGTGCACGGGATACATAGGTAAAATAAGGGATTTTTGAAACTTTTGAAATAAGTAGGGATAAATGGATACTAAGGTAAGTAAAGGAGTGTAGTTAAGTAATTTGTCCATAAATAAATGATAAAGGAAGAGAATCCAATTTGGGCCTTTGGCCCAACCTGTGCTAAATCTATTATTAGCCAAAAATGGGCTTTGGCCCATTGAGTTAACTGTGCTGTTGGCCACCTGCTGTGCAAAAGGATGGGCTTTAGCCCATTTTCGCGTCCAAAATCAGTGTATACACTGATCATATATCAGTGCATATGGGTTGTATTTTGGCCTTTTTTCGTGCATAACGAACTGTATACTAAATGTATACAACCTAATTTGACGTCTCCAACCTGCATCTTCATTTTTGGTTACATATTTACTGCACTGAACCTGTATATTAGTGTATAATGTTGTATACAATATGCGTACAACCCATTTCTTGGCTTTTGAACTAATTTCCAGCAGCATGTTGGGTCTCTGGGACCTGTAACAACTTCCGAATATATAGGGGGCTGACTCGAGAATAGTCCAACTCAATGATATGCAAGGAGGAGTCCAAAATGGACTCGGATTGGTGTCGCATGAAAAAATAAAAATAAAATAAGGATTAGAAAAGATGCAAAATGAACCGAGGAAATAATCATGACTTAACCAGGATCATATCTTAGCAAAACAAAATAAAAAGAATCTTATTCGTAAATACATATACCCATGAGAATGCATAATCCACCTACTGCCTAACAAACTAGAATACAAGACTAAAATCATTCAAATGCTCAAATTGATATGATGTTTCAGAAAACAGTAGTAGGGGAATTCCGAGGAGACATGTTATCTCAAATACATATTCACAAGAAGACCCACATCTTGAAGGCACAACTCTTATCAAAAATATAAAATTGGTCCAGCTCAATCAATATATGAGAACGAAGAGAAAAAAAAGTTAAAGAACTTAAGCAGTGATCTATCAATTGACAACTCTAAACATATAGCACCAAATATGTTGTAGTAATAGCAAACATAGTGATAATAGTAGCATGACACTTCAATGACCCAATATCCCAAAGTAGCAGTGATGAAAATGTAACAAAAAGCTTACCAATTAAAAATCCAATAATGATGAGTGAATGGGAAACAAAATTATGTAGAGACTATGACATGAAATATATGAATTCGAATAGTAAAC